AGATGGGGTTCACGAGAATGAGACGAGATTTTTACAGTATTTTTAAAAAGTCTTTTATTCAGCTGAAAAAAAATCACAATCTGCTAAACTATTTAGGTACTTTTTATTAAAAGTAAATTACTTTTATTTTATTAAATCAACTTGTAATCAACGTTATTTTACCTAATTCTATGCAGTAAAGGACATGCAAACCCTGCTAAATATTGTCTTTCATATTCATTCATTGATTTATTTTATTTTCAGCTTACTCCATTGATTAATCAAGGGTCAACACAGCGGAATGAACCGCCAAGTTATCCAGCATATGTTTTATGCAACGGATGCTCTTCCAGCTGCAATCCATATTTGGAAAACAACTATAGACTTTTGTTAACACACATACGTTAACAGACAATTTCCAGGGTGTCCGCAGGGTCTTAAAAAGTATTAAAAGTTGATAAATCAATGTAGGGAAATTTAAGGCCCTTAAAAAGTATTGTTACGACCTCAAATATCTAGGACTGAAGTCAAACATAAAAGTTAAAGAAAATAAATAAATAAACAGTTTGCAGGTTTATGATTTAAATGACCTTTAAGGTTCTTTAAAGGACCTTTAAAGTCGTAAAAAGTTTTTACAAGTATTTACAAGAAACAAAGAAATGGAAAAAAAAAAAAGCTTCAGGGCTGAGCAAGGCCAAAACAATAAACAAAACATAAACTAACCAAAACTTACCTAATGAATTAAAAAGAAATTAAGAAAATAAATTACAAAGACTACCCTTACTCCTTAACTAAACCAAAAAAAGTGTCAAAGTAACCCTACAGTGTTCAGCTTATAGCTTTATATCAGACAAGTTATATGTATGTCACAAAATGGAGGGGAGAGGAAAAAGGTGGAGAGCACCTTAAAGTTTACAATTTATAAATCAATAGGAAACACTTAAACAATGTTTAAAATAAGATCTCCGTCTCCGTCTCTCCCCCCAGCGATCTGACTACATCGGTTTCTTTTTTAAAAGATGCTGCGTTCCCTGAACACCAACCACAGCGCATGCACGCAGCATGTGTAATTAGGGCGGGGTGACCTGGAAACAGGAACGGAGCAGGACGAGAGAGAGAAAGAGACACACACACACACATACACACATACACACGCACACGCACACACACACACACACACACACACACACACACACACACACACACACACAGCACAGAACCCAATACACTCTTGCGTAACGGCATTAAAACGTCTTAAATGCTATTTTGCAAGGTATTTAATTTTATATATTTTTTGATTATGCAATGTATGATTGTAAGATAAAGTTTGCCTGAAATCTGTGAATATCAGGATGATGTGTAGTTTACGGAATCAATAAAATCCTGCTAGATTTGACATCATGCTGCTTTGTTTACTGCAGGAACCAAAGCAACACCATTATATCTGCAGTTTTATAGGCACCAACCTTCTGAATTAGCTAGATTTAATAGATTTTTATTCAGTATCAATAATGTTTTAGTTTTGGATTAAATTTTAACATTAATGTCTAGAAAATATTAGGGTTGTCATGATATTGGAATTCGGTACCGATTGGTACTGAAATTTTAAAATCGGCCATTTACCACTAACATTTGAGTGCTATTAAACATGTTCTTGAACAGCGCTGATTTGCCATTGTGTTCACGTGTTCAACAGAAATGACTTAGATTGGCTGTGAACATCATCAGTTTACTGGGTGTAATCAAAGATAGAGGGACACTAAAGCGTTTCAGTTATGTCGATCAGCTTGTTTGTCTAAAAGCTGACATTCGAATGAGGCGCTGATCAATTGCCACTTTAAAACGCAGATACATGTCCCTGTATCTGTGGTTCTATCAGTAAACAGCGGTGAGTTTGGTGAACCGATGACCTTCACGGCATGTGAACACAATGGCTAACCAGCACTGTTTAAGTATGTGTTCAATAGCGCTCAAATGCTAGTCGGAAATGGACGTTTTTAAAATTTCAGTATCAGTTGGTACCGAATTCCAGTATCGTGCAACCCTAGTAAATATACTTAAGTTAAAATCTTGCCAGTGTTTCCAGTTGAAAAGTGGTTATAAGGTCTTAAAATATATTGAAAGTGTCTTAAAAATGTCTTATAGGTATTGAATTTCACTCTCCGATTCCTGTATATACTCTGATTTAGTTTACCCAATTCTACCCCATGTCTTTGTATTGTTGGGGAAACTGTAGCACCTGGAGGAAATCCACACAAACATGGGGAGAACATGCAAACTCCACACAAAAATGCCAACTGACCCAGCCTAAGCTCGAACCAGCGACCTTCTTGCTGTGACGTAATTGTGCTACCCACTGCGCTGTCTCTTGTCGTTTATATATATTATTTGAAATATTAGCAAAATATTTGCTAATATACGAATGGAAGATTTTTATCCGACTGAAAAAAAAAAAACACAAAATGCAAAACAATTTAGGTGTTTTTTATTGTGATGAATGGTATTTTATTACTATTTTCTGGAATTTTATGAAGTAAAGGACATGCAAACACCGCAAAATATTTAGCTATAAACTCTACTGACTGGCTTCACATGGGAAATCGAACTCTTTACCACAAATTGAACTTTTAAAAAATTATGCCAATTTTGGTATTTAATTTTTTTTTCCAGCAGTTTCTCTTTCATTCAATAACATTTCATTCATGCCCCCTTGACTCACTCTGAGTGGGCATGTGGGAAAATTTGCAGTTTTTATGTGTGTAATAAAATTTCCATTTTAATGCAATTCTTTTCCTTTTACTACACTTGATACGCCCACCTCAACAGAACTGAAAACACCCCCTTGCCTAGCTTTTTCCAAATTTCTGAAATACCCTACTAAAAGGGTGTTCATGACACTTTAAAGCAGTTTGCACATACCATACCACAGATAGCACATTGGTTAATAGAATAACCAGAAGTTGACTTGACGTTAGATGAGAAAATAAGTAAATAAGTGATCAAATTCATTTAGAAGCATTAGTAAAAAAAATAATAATAATCAATAAAAAAAATTTGAAAAGCTGTATTATTCTTCACATTGTCACAGATGTGTCAAAAACTTTAGAAACTGATGTGTCACAGATATGTCAGAAACTGGTAGAAGAGAAAATCTTAAAGAATAATTAAAATTTCTAGAAATTAAATAATTGACATTAAGCAATATCCATATTTAAATGTACCATCATATAAGTCATATAAGTAGCATCATATATAAATGATGGACAAAATAACAGTTTTGCCAACTAAGCTATTTTTAATGCAAATTTTTACTATTTTTGTGAATGAGGTTATACACTGTTCCCTTTGAAGATTTTCCAACGTGTTCTCAGGAGTTTGTTTTCCATATCAAAATTGCGAAGTCTGAACTTACAAGGAAAGGATGCAAGACTGAACTTTGTATTCCTAATATTGAGGGAAAAAAGCAATCAAGCGTAATCTACGGTTGCCACGCTTCCCTTAAAATCAATACAGGACGGGTTTTGTCCCGTATATTTACAACTTTTTAAAAGTTGCTTTTCATGCAAATAATCCCACACTTATTTTATGAAGATGCCTTATTTCCTATTTTGATTGGGTTTGTCAAGTCTTGATAGAGAGTCATGGCAGATGCTTCTCAAGGTAACTCTCCGCATCTTAAAGTTTCAGAGTTTAAACACAAGCGACTGAAAAAAATACTACAGAGAGTGGGAGGAAACAAATACCTGGCTGCAGAGTGTTAGAAATTGGATGCAGCTCAGATTGCAATGCACCAAGTCTGCTTCCAGACCCCTCTCCACTTTTGAGCCAGGCCTATTATTATAAGACCCCAAATATAATAATAATTACAGCAAATTAACCCGACTACGCCACCTTGGGAATTTCACCCAAAGAATTAAGATACATGCACCACCTATATAAAAGGCACGCACAAGTTCGCTCCACCAATTACAGTCAGAGACATTGGTGCAGTAAAAAATAAAAATTACTTTATTAACATGTCTCGAATAAAAACATGATTAAAAACAATATTGCAAGATTGACATTGTGGTTCGTAAAGTTACAAATTGTGCTTCAGGGCCAGAGCTCACCAGCCAGGGAAGGTGGCCAGACTGCACTTCAGGCAAGTGAAAACCACTGCACTCCACTGTGTAAAAAAACACACACACGTACAAACATAAACCAGCACACAGTGAGAAAAATCCTAAAAATCTTCTATAAAATTAGCCTTCTGCCCTGGGAACTCTGGCACAAGCAGACAAGTCGGACCAATGCCCTTCAATTAAAGCGAAAAGTCACAATTTACACAATTATCAAATTAACAAAAGTCCAAATGTAGTAGAATTTATAAATGAAAACAAAGAAAGTCAATTAAATCCCACCTTAAACAAAAAGAAACAATTCGATCAAAAAGGAAAATAAACCAAAACATCAATAATGAAGAAAAGAGCCCAAGTAAATCTATACAAAAAAAGCACAAATGTATGGAAAAAATCTCAAATCAAAACAAGCTTGAGTAATAAGTTAAAATAATGAAAATAAACAAATAAATCCAGCCAAAACTATGAGGATCCTACTTTATAGTAAATGTATACAATCAAATAAACCTGATAAGTGAAATGGGACTCAAACAAGCAATAATAGATAAATAAACCAACAAAAATTATTTGTTAAATAAACAGTCCTTGTATTTAAAAAAAATAAATATCGGGAGGATAGAAAATTAAAAGTTAAGAAAAGAGAAAATTTAAATTAAGGACAAAGAAAACAAAACAGAAAACTAAACCTAAGAAAACAGAAAACAGGACAGCACTGTAGCCGCAATTAAATGCGGAGCGCCCGACGAAGCTCCCTTTACAGATTGCCACCCAGCCTAATTATCTCTCCTGCCACATGTTGTAATGTATTTTAAATAAAAAACACAATATTACAGATGTACTAATGCTAGTTTTGTTTGTCCAAACTCTTTTAACTCCACCATTTACTTTTTCTCTGTGCTACAGATTCCATATGTATAATGTGGATGAGAAGAATCCAGGCTTTAATGAAACTAGAGCTTGTTATTACACAGCTCAGATAATTTGTGGGCTTGAGCATTTGCACCAGCACAGGATTGTGTATAGAGACCTCAAGCCAGAGAATGTACTCCTGGATGATGCAGGTGAGAAACACAAATATGTAAACCTACTAACGGATAATCTCTCATATCTTACTTTACAGAATGTCTTATGTTTCTTTGCTTTAGGACATGTGCGTCTGTCTGATCTGGGTTTGGCTGTTGAATTACCACCAGGAAAAGACAAAACACAGGGATATGCAGGGACTCCAGGTCAGAAAACTTTCAGTTCTAATACTCTAAGGGCCGGTCTGGCTAATTTTGTGTCTTGTCGGGTTCATGTTGGATTGTGTTGAACTGATTCAGCATGTCAAATCGGCATTAGACCAACAAACACCAGAGAATTGCTAGTTTAGGGAAGTTGTAATTGCTAGGGTTTCCTGGGTTGTTTGGGAGTGTTTTTAAAGTATTAGCACAATATGCATTTAAAAAAAGTTTTATTGTGTGGAGTGTACACTTATGGTACGGTGCAGCCTTCGAGCAGTGGCAAAAATTTAACTACACGTCATGACGTGCAGGGTTCTTATAACTTTCCAAAGTCAAATTTAAGGACTTTTCAAACATTTTCCAGGTGTTTTTTTTTTCAAACTTTGCACTTTGCAACTGTGGTAAATTAAATATTTGCATGCATAAACTTCTTCATCAAATTAAATAAGATGCTATTTGTTACAATATTCTGTGGTACAGCACAAGTATTTAAAAAAAAATAATTAAATAGAATGTTTGCCCAAACCCCATTATCAACACTAAAATGCTGTATCAATTCACATCTTAAGATGTCATATTTCACCTTAAAGTTATATTTATTTTAAGGTCTGATTTTTCCAAATGCTTAATATTAAAATATAGAATGTTGTGAAAAGGATCAGTATTGAAGAATGCAGGCAGCACTGATTTGGCTTGCACTGTAAATGAGCGGTCACAAGATACATTTGGAGTAGTTCAATAAAGATGTAAAAATAAATTCTGTGGAGGTGAAACGGGGGCTTTACTTTCTAAAATCGCATGAAAAATGAAAGTTGCACCACTTCCTACAATGCTTTTAGGCTTGCACTCCCATTGAGTCTGTCAGTGCTTAGCAGCCAATCATTCATTTTTTTTTTTTTTTGTGGAAGCTGTAATACATTTAACTTTTATGAATAGAAATACGATTAAATCATTTTAATAAACTGTACTATACTGTGCTATATTACTATTGTACAGTAAAAAATATAAATCAGCACAACTGTTTTTAACACTGTTCTCAGAAAAGATTTCTTATCCTATGACCCCATCTTGTAGAGAACCTAAGTATAACAACCTTACTTTCTAATCTTTCCTCTTTTTTAATCCCACACTATGAGTGAAACCCTTCAAGATATCCAAAACATTTCTATGTATCTGGATGCAGCCTTGTTGATGCAAACTGAGATTGCATATTTTAAAGAGCTAGTGACGTCACTTTAAGGGGTAGGTTTAGGGTTGGGGTTAGGTGAGTGTGTAACGGAGTCCAGTTAGTGAAGTGCTATGCAAGTAAACCTCACTCTTCTGACCTCTAAAGGTGCTCTAGCGACAGACGCTAGAGACCATTGTCTTTAGTCTCCTTGTTAAAGCAACTGATCCCATGCGGAAGGTCACCAGTTCTATCACAGCTCGGAGCGGGTTGGGTGGTGTAGGACACGCGGAGTTACATTGGTGCCATGACCCAGATGGGAGTGAAGTTTAGGGGGGTAAGTGTAAAGGAGGCCACCTAGTGAAGTGCTGTGCAAGTAAACCTCACTCCTCTGACCTCTAAATGGGCTCTAGCAAAAAATGCTAGAGGCCATTATCTTTATGCGCCTTGTTAGAGCAACCAACTCCCATGCGGAAGGTTGCCAGTTTGATCCCAGCTCGGAGCGGGTTGGGGGATGTAGGACCGGTGGGGTTACAAGTGCATTAAAAAGCAGTGAATGCAGCTCTGATTGTAACTGCAACAAGTCTGCATCCAAACCCCTCTCAAATATTTTGACATTTTAAAATGTTTTTGTATCATGCTGACATTATTTGGTGGTAATGAGTTTTTGTGACCAGTTACTGTACTACCCCAATATTGTAGACAAAAGGTGGTATTGAGAGCCCCCCCAACCCCACCCATCTATGATCTTTTGCCTTGGAGGTGTGTGTGTAATTTCATGACATTCTGAACACTGTATGTGCCAGAAAAGCATAAGTAAAAAATTTCAAAGATTCACCTGTTGTATATAATATATAATAATAATTAAAATAATTATGACAATAATAGGTGGCGACGCTGTGGCACAGTAGGCAGTGCTGTCGCCTCACAGCAAGATGGTCACTGGTTCGAGCCTTGACTGGGTCAGTTGGTGTTTATGTGTGAAGTTTGCATGTTTTGCCCACATTTGCGTGGGTTTTTTCCAGTTTCCCCCACAGTCCAAAGACATGCGGTACAGGTGAACTGGGTTGGCTAAATTGTCCGTAGTTTATGTGTGTCGATGAGTGTGTATAGATGTTTCCCAAAGATGGGTTGCAGCTGGAAGGGCATCCACTGCGTAAAAAAAAATGCTGGATAAGTTGGCAGTTCATTCCGCTGTGGCGACCCCAGATTAATAGGACTAAGCCGAAAAGAAAATGAATGAATGAATAACATATGAATGAATAATAACAATAAACTGGGCAATTCCAATAGGGCCAGCATGCCAACAGTGCTCAGTCCCTAATAATAATAATAATAATAATAATAATAATAATAATAATAATAATAATGATGATGATTATAAAAGGAGCAATTCCTATAGGGCTTATGCACCACTTGAGATCAGTCCCTAAATAATAAATAGAACAATCCCAACAATAAGCTTACCTGGGTTTATGCACATGCAGACTTCTAAATCAAATCACCCAATTAAAAGAAAAAGATAGAAAAAAAAAAGAACAGCAAAAACCCCAAACAAAACTCAAACTGCCTAATGTGTAACAAGAAACTTACTGCAATAATTTCTTTAATAATTCATAATATTTGTTTAGGTCTAAGATCCTACATATTACTAAAGACTTAGGATTTCATTTGTTCACTCTTTTGAAATATCTTTCCCCACTTTCTTTACCTTGTGCAAATGATCTTGTTATTATGCTTATAGTATTTCCACTAAATTCCACCCCGTAAATGTAATAAATCCTTTATATTAGGATTGAATTAGCTGTTTCGTTTAAGCTGTTAAGTAAAAGACAAAACATTTTCATACAAACCACTCATTATTCATGTTCCTGACAAAAATGTATTCATCATTTATTTGTTATTGTAATGACTTTATTGCAAAATGCTCTTTACTTAGAATTTTCACAGACACTAATAATTGATTCTATTATTTTGACTGTTTATTTAAAGCTGCTTTAATATAGTCTGTATTGTATAAATGGATAAGCAAAGTTGACTTGACTAAAAATAAGCAGATTATGTTGTATGTCTCATTAGGTTTTATGGCTCCAGAACTGCTACAAAAGAAAGAGTACGACTACACTGTAGACTACTTCACGCTTGGGGTCACACTGTATGAGATGGTTGCTGCCAAGGGACCGTTCAGGTGTCGTGGAGAGCAGGTTTGTACATTAAGGCAAATACTTTAGCTTTCTGTTAAGGACCCTTCACACTGATAGAGATGTGTATTGACAAAGGTAAATCATTTTAAATAAGAGGAATTTAAGGCAAACTTACTCATCTTACCTCTGCTTGTTTGCTGTATCAAAGGTGGACAACAATGAAGTGACTCGCCGCATTCTGAATGACCCTGTCTCATACCCCCCAACTTTCAGTCAGGAGCTTAAAGACCTCTGTGAAGGACTCATGGAGAAAGATCCAGAGAAGAGACTTGGCTTTAAAAACAATGAGTGTGCTGAGCTGAAGAATCAGTCTTTCTTCAAAGAACTCAACTGGGGGAGATTAGAAGCTGGTATGGCCCATCAGCTATAAAGTCAGAGAAGAATATGCATTACAAACCACTTAGGAAAAAGTACCATATTTTTTTAAGACTTGACATTATTCTTTATAGTGCTTTAAATGTTAAAATGCATAAAAGTTCAAATATCAAAAATTACTATTGTGTTTAAAGTACCATCTAATACCATTACTGTACCACTGCTCTCTTTCTTAAACATTAAAGTGTTAATTGACCCAAAATTGTAAAATTACTCACCGTCGTGTCATTCCAAATCCCTGGGACGTTCAAACATTCAAAAACATGACATTTAACTTGAAATCTGAGAGCTCCCTCATCCTCTATAGAGAGCAGTGTTTCAGTCCAGAAAGGTAGCAAAAACAGCCTTAAAGCAGATGTCACATTATGTTTTTAGTACCTTTCTGGACTTGAACGAATGTCTCAGGGGTTCAGAACGACATGAGGGTGAGTTATTCATTATATAATTTTAAACACTTGAATTCAAACAATTTTAACAGTTTGAACAAATTATTGGTATCTTTAAAAATATATTCTTCTTATTTTTCACATAGGTATGCTTCCTCCACCTTTTGTCCCTGATCCTAAAATGGTATATGCCAAGGACATTGATGATGTGGGTGCATTCAGCACTGTGAAAGGTGTAGTGATTGACAACAAAGACGACGAATTCTACACTGAGTTTGCAACTGGGAATGTACCAATTCCATGGCAGGAGGAGATGATTGAGACAGGTGTGTTCGGAGAACTTAACATTTGGGGACAAAATGGAAAACTCCCGAATGATCTAGATCCCAACTTTGTAGAAGCAAAAGGAGGGGGATGTGTGCTACTGTAGAAGAAAGGAGCAAAATGCAGAACATACAAGAAACTGATGTGTGCGCTGGAAATAATTAATGATGGACAACAAAGCAATGAAGTACATATTTATGTAAAGTATGTATAATAGAGAACAATTATCTAACTCAGAAGGTCTCCATATGTATGTTTTGGAACACTTGTTTGAGCTTCTTAAATCTATTACTGAGCAGTAAGCAAATCAAACAGGTCTTCTGACATTCTGTAAAAATATATATTTTTATATAGTATGTAAGGCAACATTACGGATTCTGTATTACATGTTTATATATTAAAAGTTACATGAGATAAAGTTTGGTCATGGAGGATGTTAGCTATATAAACAGGAATTAAACCAAGTACATTTAAAAGGAACTGAAAAAGTAACACATCAGCTTAGATGCCATAGAGGAAGTGAGATCCTTGTTTACTTGTGTAGTTCAAATATATATTTCAAGATGTTTAAAAGAGGTCATCTGTTTACTGTTTGTAAACACATAGCATTTTTGGAGTTTATGATACATTTGGTTGTTAGAACTCTCCTTACAATCTTGCCAATAACAATAAAATATTTTTATGTAGGAAAATAGAATCTTCTCTTTTTGGTCTTTATGGTCAGTCCGGGATCAGTTGCTTTACTAAAATGTTGAACTGGGACTTTTCAGTTGTTAAAAGCTGAAGCAAATACTTTTTATGGGTACTTTACGTAAGCAAAAAAAGTAGGAACTAGCTTTACAAATCTTAATAATTCTAAACTATATACTATTTAATATAAAAATAAATCCATGATTCTGTAGAATAGAATAAAATCTATGCCTTGCATCTAGTAATTCACTATATGTAACGAACAACAGTCCATTTGGCATGGTGACCTACTTCCGTCTTAGCTATGAGAAAGACCAGAGGACAAAATCTGAAAAGAGAAGTAACCACTATAAGTGACATTTATTAACAGCATTCAGAACAGGTTTGGTCACAGCATAGAATTTCACACAGTTTGGCAACCCTGAATGCACAGTGAAAGGTAAATTAACTTATTTTTGTCTTTTGTGTTTTCATTCTGTTGCAATAGTTGTTGCAGTAGGCATTTTAAAATGAGTGTATATGTGTGTTTCTGCATGTATAAATCTTTTTTAGAGCATCAATGATGGATAAGTCAATTCATAAAATATCCAATGGAAAACCTACAATTCCACAAAAACCCATCCTTCCACCAAAACCAAACCTGAAAACTTTACACAAGACAAGCCAATTGGCTTCTTCTAGCAGAGTGGCTCAGGTTTTGCATAACTTTGAACCAGGAATGGACAATCAAATGGCATTAAACTGCACAAGGAAAGACAGAAGATATTCCAAAGATATAAGCCAAGATGAAAAGCATTTGGGAGTTGAAGCTAGATTGCAATGTCCTACCTCAACAGATGACAAGGCATTGGATATACCCTCAGTTACAAAAAGTGAACATAAAGAATTAGAGGTAAAACTGAAGGCAGATGAAATAAATCATCAACTGGCAGTGGATGCAGGTCGTTCAGGTAAAGTAAAATTTCGAAAATTCTGTATCAAACATGATTATGCTTTTAGTATAACCCAAAATTATTCAACGTAACTGAAATGCTGATGCTGCTATTGTGAGCTGTTATTCATTTATAATACATTTTGTACGTTTAGATTATTCATAATTTATTTATTTAAGATTCAAATTGTTGAAATAGGTATTAAAGTATTTTGAAAAATATTAAACCAAAATAAATAGTTAATGATGAACATTTGTATTTTAAATAGCATTTTTAATTATTATTAATAATAATAAAAAACAGGAAAAATTCAGCTTAATTTGATAACAAGATAAATATGTTTGCACTGCTTTACTGGCGGACAGGAGCATATAATCTTTCAATTGCAAGATACATTTGATTTAAATTTAACCAATTATTCCCAAATATCACAAATTTACTGTCCCCTTTCATTATCAGTTATTATTTTGGTTAACTTGATCATATTCTTAGTATAATGTGTATAGTTCTTAGTTCTGTTTATTATCTTTTATTATTACTATTTTACTTGCATAAACATAAGAGTAGAAAATGTAGAAAAAATAAAAGTGCAGTTTTTATCTGGACCTGTGACATTAATTATAGAATAGTGATTAATAAAGCACCCCACTATTCTTTTCTTTAGCTCCTGATGGCAGTGAAGTGAATAACTCTGTAAGTGGCAACTCAGACATTTGTCAAGACTCAACAGCACCACCTACCATGTCAGAAGAGAAACACTGCCATTGTGTTTGCCACCTTCAAAGGCCTGGTATGAAACTGGTCTGGGTACCTCTACAGGAAGAGAATAATTATCTGGATACAGTGAATGAAAAGTGTAATAGACATCAAAACAGTGGAAGACAGAGAACTAAACTTCAAAAAAAGGAAGGTGTTTTACACCTAACCAGTAATGAAGTTGGAAAGCTGGAGAATAGAACCACTCACCATTCAAAACCCATTCAAGAATTACCACCATGCATAAATTGCCAAAGCTTTTTATATCACCACAGCCCTCACAAATTAGCATTAAAGAGATTTGCATATGCTGAGGAGCCTATTCAAAACCACTCAAAACCCCCTCTACCTCCAAGGACTTATCAGTCCTCCAAGTATCAAAATATCAAACAATATGCACAGCACACTGATGCCAATATATACTTAGATCTTTTGCCATCAAAAGACAATATACTTACCACACCACCTGTCCCCCCTCGACCTCTTCCTCGGCCTCCTCTACACCCCACAAGCAAACAAAAAACAGAAAAACGGTCCTCACAGCCATCATTGGCCTGTGTGATCTCTCTTAGGGGAGGCTATCCACCAATTAGAAACATCAGCCCCTGCAAGTCTAGAAGATTGCCGGATTCAACAGGTGAGCACAGAAAAATTCGCAAACATTGCTTTTCACTCAAGCGCAGCACAGAAATCCAGTTCATTCAAAAGTTTGTACATGAATTTGATATTTAACACTTATTTTTTGCTAAGCATAACATGCCAAGCCAACACCAATGTCTATCTGAGAACATGTGAAAATAATACCTCCCAAAATCAGAGGAATTTTTGTTTTAATATGTTATTCTGAGTAAATCAGACATTTGTCTAGTTTTCTGAAAAGTTCATATTTGCTTTCTAGCTGAGAGTTATGAAAATGCAGAAGGTTGGGAGTCCATAGACAAAGAAAAGTAAGTATACAACATCAATACGTTGTTTTTAAAAACTCAAGTGATTATACTTGAGTGATTCAGTAGTTTTTGGAGTAGTTAATTTTTTTAAACAATTTATTGAAGTATATTTTTTTTCCTGTAGTTGAATGTATTTATTTTTTGCTTCTACAGCATTCTAAATGCTGTATTGATACTTGCTATTTTGTTAATGCGCCATTGTTAGGGATGGTTCCAAACGGGAAGTGACACAGAAATTGAACAACTACCCGTTACTAAAATATGTTCAAAGTGTAATTTATTGTCATATATCTTTGGTCTTATGACTCCCCGTCCCAAATATGTTCTTGTTTTATTATACTTACCTTTATCTACTTCAACTAGATCTAGTACTATGTTAAGAGTTTAAATAAATGCCAGATTGTTTTTCACTGCCAGAGACGAGCAAAAATCAATACACCATTTCTCCAATACACTGTGACTAAAATTGTCAGCACCTCTAAAAATTCTTATGCCATTACTCGTATAGAATAGTTTAATATATTTTCACAATTTATATCACACAAGGGTGAGTACAAACACAAAAGTCCAGTAATGTATTTATATTTTACAGGAGTTTTTGTGAGAAACACAGAGACCAACTTCCATCATTTTTTTTTTTTTTTTTTTTTTTTACAAAGAGTAGATTAGGGTTAGTTTCAGCAGCCAAATTAGGATTAGTAATGGATCTGCCATAAAGAGTTTCCATTTATGAGTTTTGGGGTCAGAAAACCTCAAACAAACAAAGACACAAAAGAAAGAAAGAAAGAAATTAAAAAAGAAAGAAAGAAAGAATGAAAGAAAGAAAATTTAAATCCACCACAATATTTAATCCCATTGTCATACTATATCTTCAAACAATATTGATATATGGTAAGACAAAAAGAAAGAAAAAGAAAGCAGGCAAGATGGCTTTATTGACTAAATGAAGTTTATTGCATGTGTCCACAGTTAAGGGTACTGCTGAATCTGTAATGTTTTCTTTATTTATAGCTGAGGTTTGAATTTTAAAGTGCATCATGATTAAAATTATTAGTTCTCAAAAAAAAAAAAAGTAAATTATACAATTATATGAATTGTCCTGGTTTTTGAATCTTTAGCCATTTATGTTGATGTTGATTCGAAACCTTTTCATATATGAGGTGCTGGAACCAGGAAAACTTGAACCTGCACTTCCCTTTAAACTAGCAGAATGCGTGGGGTGGAATTAATTGTGACTTAAGATGAGTCATCACTGATCACTGTGAGATGGTTCGGTTTGAGAAGCTGGTCATGAGGAATAAACGGCTAAAATTCATTTTTACAACAGTACCGGAATATAGCCAAGCTAACCCTGTGCTGTGTTTGTTTCTGTTATTTTTCTGATTAAAACAATAACTTAACCTGCAATGTCGGATTCGCCATCCGTTTGTTATTAATAGTCTTTGCCAATCCTTCCTTAAATGTATTGGACTTTGTCAGTACATTGTTCATATGAACAACGAAAATTTACAAACAACAAAATATAACCTTTTATAATGCATAATAGGGACTCTAAATAAGCAAAGCATAGGAGGTTCTATCATGCTATCATATCATTCTATTTAATCATCTTTACAGCAAATTCTAAAGGTCTTGCAATGGGCCATGGCTGGAACTTTCATAATGACAATGAACAAATATCATTAAAATCTACACAAAAATGCATCGCTGTGTCACAAAAGTATGGTTCAGTGATGGTCATCCCAGTATCCTAAGCTATAGAAAATAAGTAGGTGAAATGAAGAGGAATGAGCACCAAAATTGACTGAGAAACCATAAGATCTGAGATTCTGTAAGAAAAAATGTGAACTCTTCTCAGTAGTCTTCCAACTTCAGGTATTATAGGAGAAGATATAGAGCTGATTTCTGTGCAAATGAAAGTTAAAAAAATGATTGAATAAAATTATGTCATGGTTTTGACCAATATGTACAGTATTGGAGAAATAACATTGACTTTAATTTAAATTTATTTTGTTTCTATGTTAGGCAGCATTTTTTGTGATTTTTTTTAAATGAAAGATGAGCAATACAGAATTATTTTCACATCTTTCTTTGCGTGTATTTACCATATGTACTATATCACACAACTGCAAATTAGGTTTTACTTTCTTAACTGTTCTAACGTCCTAACTGTTTATGTTCACCTGAAACATAACTAACTGTATTTATTGTAGAATGGTTGAAAAGAACAAAATAAGGGATTGAATGCTTATTGCATCATGTATCTGTGCCAGAGCAAGATATGCCCAAATGCAGAACCACAGTGCTACATGTATATGTACAGCAGTTTCAGGACAGAAGCTTCGGTCCATCAGACTTAAACC